AATATGAGAAACAGCATAAAACATGTCAGTCTTTAAAATTCAGTTTTTAACAGTAAATCTAATCTTTCTTAAGAAATTACATTTATGTTACCTTTTCTGGAAGAATGAATAAACTTCTTGATTCCAAACCACTGAAGGATTCCCTTCAAAGTAKCACTTTTGCAGAATTTAACATGTTTTTGCTTCTTATTTCTTTTTAATGTTTAAGACTGAACTTCTTGTTATAGGGAGGATTTGTCACAAGGGTAAATGAAAAGGCTGCCAACTTTAATGTTGTATGATAAAGTTTCAAACTATGGTAACAGTAAATATAGTTACTGTGAAACCACAAGCGTAATTGTCAATCTGAACAGCTATCAAAATTACAAACTGGTAATTTTAAGAGCGGTGATACAGATGCACTAGATAGTTGTAATTTTTATTTGGCTCAATAAAAGTAAATACTTTTAGAATGTCTGGCTTCAATATAGGAGGGTGATGAACTCTAGCCAATGTGGAGAGATTTTTTTTGCAGTTGGTTTTCTGAATAGATTTGCATTTAAGTAACTCATTTCATTCAGTCTGATATGCCATAAAGAAAGTTTTTGTTTTTGTTGTTCAAGTCCATGCTGAAAGATAAGAATTTAGAACCCGAGTTTTGTGCAGCTGAAAGCTACCAACAAACATGCCATGTAGTTGCAGAATTATAAACAAATTACCCCTTGAATCTCAAAAGCTATAAATTTTCAAAGATGTGCATTTTTGAAAAACTTGACATTTTAAAAAATACTTATATAAGAAAAAGGCACTGTATGTTCTCTAAAAATCCACAATTGGAAAAAAAAAATTCCCATTCATTTGTTTTTTACATGTAAAGGTATCGAATGTGTTTGGGAGTCTGCTTTTTCTGGAACAGATCATTAAAAGCTTGATGTTTGGAAAAGAAATMAAATCAAAAAATCAAAACCTAGCTACATGTGAAGCAGAAGTGTGTGTTTAATTGTTTCCTGGTGATCAACATGTCACACAAACCGATGTGCACACATTTTACTACAACAATCGCAAAATCTGGYGTCAAAACTTCTAAAAGCAGCAAGAATCTTCACTATCATTTGAGTAGCCACTTAACCTCTGTCCATGATGGTGCTGATTTTTTTTCTCTGCAGCTGAAGGAAGGAAGGAACATGCAGGGGAGCAAACAGTCTTTCTGAATCCAGTTTTAGGTTCTAAGTTGCACATTTCAAAATCCTGGACTAAAAAAATTGGACCGCTTGAGCTTTAAATCTGAATTTGTTCCTCATCTGAAACAAATCTGTGTAAAAACAAACAGCTTCCACCCCCCAGCTGACATTTAAATGAAATTTGTAATTCATTTTGATTGACATATTTAAACAGTTGTGGCCATTTTGTGCAGGAAAAAAAAAGAGACAATGACTGAAATACCATAAAGTCGAACAAATACATTAAAATAATAATAATTAAAAATATATATGTAACTGTATTTGAGATTTTGTGAGTAACATAGTTTCACATCCAGTCTGTCAATCGGTCAGTCTGTAAATCTTGCGTGCCGTACTTCTGCTGTGGGTTTGGACTGTGGCAGCTGTCTCCTCGTGTAATTTCAGACGGACTCCATGTTGTTGAGATTTGTGTTCAGTGGGGGCCATGCCATCTGTTGCAGGACTGGTTGTTCTTTTCATATCAGTAACAATGTTCTTTATTTCTAATTCTGACTGTCTTTCAGGGGGGTTGTTGTGCTACGTAAAGAACCTGGGTGCATCTGATACCATCTGCACTATACTACACATACACCCAATTTTAGTTCTGATTTATTCTCCACTAACTGTGCAGCCGCATGTCAGTATTGTCAGTTTGTCACTTGACACAGGAAATGCTGCATACAGTGAATTAATCTGAGCATTTTCCCGGAGAAGGGCTGTCAAGTGCCTCTGAAATGGTTACTGGAAAAAATAAAGTAAAAAAGCTAAAGTTGCACTCATCAACTTCACATTTGCATGCATCATATTGTTTGGCAAAGTCTTAAGGTTATACTTGCATATTCAGTTTGTTTTTGTCAAACAAGCCAGCTTGATCCTTTAACCCTGTACWCCCCACCCACTGCACATATTCTGGTCATGACACAGAAAAAAATAAAGTAAAGAAAAAGTCATTTTAAAAGTTACTTTGTGAACACCTGACATCGCATATCTCACATTGGCTCTGCAGATGTGTCGGCATGCTCGTGAAAAATYCGGTAATCCCTCAAATGCCTTAAACGTTAATCTTCACATGCTTAATACGCTAAACAATTACCATTATTTTAATGCCATCTTAAGTTTTTTTCCACCTATAATTACAATTAATAAGAAACTGAATCAGAATCAACTTAAAAAAACATTTGTCGTATTCTGCCTTCTCTTTTT